GGTCAGTGTTTTTCCCCATAGTTCTCCTTAGGGTAACGGGAGGACACAAACTAGCGTCCTCCCGTTACCCTAAGCTCAGTATACCGCGAGCTACAGCTCGTGGTATACTGAAACGCCGGAGCGGATCCCGACATCGAAGTCGAGATCCGCCCAGCTGCGTGAGTGACAGCTGGCTCTGCCTATCTAGAGGCAGAGCCAGCTGTACCATCCCCTCCCCGGTCCGATCCGCCAGTCAGCGCTGGCAGATCGGAGTGGGGAGAGGGGAATCCAGCCCCTCCCCCTGTCACGGCAGAGAGCCGTGACAGGATCGAGAGGTGAGCAAACCCGGTATGTGTTCGCTCACCTCCCGATCTACTGAGCCGACCTGTGAGAGTCTCATTGTCACAGGTCGGCTAGAACTATGAGGTGAGTGGAAATCACTCACCTCATAGTTCTCCTTTAACCTACAATATGACCTGCACTATTTAAAAGGAGAACTATGAGGTCAGTGATTTTCACTCAACCTCATAGTTCGAGATAGATCACGGGTCCCTGCATGGATTCTCCCCCTTCCTTGTCCCTTGTCCGATCCTCCAGTGTTGACTGGAGGAACGAACGGGGGAGGGGGCGGGTACAGCTGGCTCTGCCTCTAGATAGATAGCAGTCAGTCACGCAGCTGGGTGGAACTCGACAGTAATGTCAGGATTTGTCCCGGCTGCGGCGGTCTCAGTATACCGCGAGCTCTAGCTTGCGATATACTGAGCTTTGGGTCACGGGAGGACGCTAGTTTATGTCCTCCCGTGACCCTGAGGAGAACTATGGGGAAAAACGCTTACCCCATAGTTCTCCTTTAATACAATAGGTTTTAGTCTAACTGCAACCAAAACTTGTTTTAAGCATTTTGGATAGAATGGGTATGAGCTGGAACCTCTGTCAGGTTTTTAATATCATATATGTCCTCCACTGGGTACCTTTCTCCTTACATCCTATCTCCCTAAGACTGAAACAAGAAGCAATAGGAATTTCCCCAAGGGAAGCAAAAAGTATTAACCTATTTTGCAGAATGCAGAAGGGTTTGAACTTCAGTCAGGTTTTACTACTTTCTGTGTCCCAAATTGGAAGATTTCCCATTGGCATCTTTCCCAGTCACATCCTGTGTGTTAAGATGTGATTAGTGTTCCTGGGACAGGAAGTAAACGGAGATTTCCTCTGTGGGCACATTGAGGGGAATTTATCAAAACTGGAGCAACTGCTCCAGATTTTGTCTGCTCCACTTTTGATAAATTTCCCTCATTGTGTTCAAAGCCTGGCAGAGGTTCTAACTCTTCCGCACATGTCAAAATCTAAAGCAATGTTTTAACTGTAGCTGGTCTTTAAAAGGGAACTGTAAGTCACAAACCAATACCTCCTATTGAAGGTGAAAAAAAGCCTCAGTAGCAATGGCAGTGTACCCAAAAACTAAGCAATGTCTTTCAACATTTAATTTATCCCAGAGCTGCAGAAATCACAGCAATACAAAAATTACTTCTGATACCTCTTTGGCTTTATGTTCAATTAGTTTCTATGAAACCCTATTTTCCCTGACTTTAAAAAAACAACTTCTGAGACTGCTGAGAAATCTGTGAAAATGTCAAACATCCAGGAAATTGAAGCACAGGCCGAAGGCTTAACAGAAACATTGAAACAATGGATCATAAGCATGAAAGCTTACATAGTTTGCAGGCTCCATTCACCTTTCCCTGCCCCATCAATCAGATCTTGATAGATAAGTGTGATGTGCCATGCATTCAGCATATTGTATGTGAAGTCTGAATTCTTCAAAGCTTTCTATTAATCTGTACTCTGTTGTTGCAGTGCCATGACAGTGTGCTACAGCACAATCATACTTACAGTCTCCATTCACCTTTCCCTACCCCATCAGAGCTTGATAGATAAGTGTGATGTACAATTAATTCAGCATATTGTATGTGAAGTCTGGATTCCTCAAAGCTTTCTATTAATCTGTACTCTGTTGTTGCAGTGCCATGACAGTGTGCTACAGCACAATCATACTTACAGGCTCCATTCACCTTTCCCTGCCCCATCAATCAGAGCTTGATAGATAAGTGTGATGCGCCATGCATTCAGCATATTGTATGTGAAGTCTGAATTCTTCAAAGCTTTCTATTAATCTGTACTCTGTTGTTGCAGTGCCATGACAGTGTGCTACAGCACAATCATACTTACAGGCTCCATTCACCTTTCCCTGCCCCATCAATCAGAGCTTGATAGATAAGTGTGATGCGCCATGCATTCAGCATATTGTATGTGAAGTCTGAATTCTTCAAAGCTTTCTATTAATCTGTACTCTGTTGTTGCAGTGCCATGTCAGTGTGCTACAGCACAATCATACTTACAGGCGTTTCACTGATGACTTCTCTTTGTTGCCTTCATTTGACCTTGGAGATGTGGTAATTATGGATTCGTTCTCCAGCATAATAATTTGGTCCTCAGTTGGAGGAATGACACCACTGGGATATAAAAATACATTTGATATTTTCTTATTTGTAGAAAAGAAAAGAGAAAAGTTATTCGAAAGACGTGATCGTGAAAACAATTACCTTTTATAACACTGCAACTCGTCCTGAGCAACCAAGAGCTGGACCTTCAGCTTGTTGCGCTCTTGTAGCACTTCTCTCAGCTCCTGCAGGGTAAACCGTGGCCGGTTTGGATCTGTCAGATCAATGATCATTTTGTCTGGCCCAAGATCTGTCTGGAAAACATCATATATGTAATAAAAAAAATGTAATTTGTTTTATTGTACAATAACTATTTCTCAATATATCACTCCTATCATTATTTATTCCTAGTAATGTCAGGCACCACATGGACTTCACTGCAAATCTCATCCACGTACCACCTTCCACCTGGGAATGTACTGTATATAAGGGAATATAAAATAAATATGAGGTACTAATTATCTGCCCCATAATATCTATTTATGTACTCATTTGACTGAGTGGTGTGCATGAGAATAGGGCATTTGTTTCAGGAAAGACATCAATTATTTTTCTTTCTGCCCCATTTTCTCTTCTATTTCTATGTATAAAGTGAATTGAGACATTAGAGAACATATTGGGTAGTGTAAAACAATTTGCATTTTTTTAGAGGGGAACTACACCCTCTGCTTTAAAAGGCAGCGTTCACTACCCCACCTTGCTCTCAGCAAATTATTAGAAACAGGTATGTTAAAGCTGCTGTAATTCAGCTTTCCTTCAACCTGCTTGCCCTATCCAGTGCAGCTTTCTCTCTGTAGGAGCCATTCCACACGAGCATTCTGATCCGGTTAATCTAAGGGCAGCCGGATTTTAAAAGACATGTACCAATTTATATATAATTATCCCTGACTCCGGCCAGGTCCAGAAAACCAAATGGAACAGCATTCTGTTTTGGTTGACCTGGTTGTGGTGGTTCGGGGATAATCTGAACACGGATACAAGTCTGTTTACATCCGACTCCCCATAGACCAACATGGGTCTGGTAACTTCATTTTTTTCCTCCATTTCAAGAACTGCTAAGCTTAGCAGGGAATTCATGCATGGATCCCCTGCTGCTCAGAACTGAAAGCCCCATGTGAAAGGGGCCTACAGGCGGTATTCCAGTAAAATAACTTAGAGTATTCAGAGTCTGCAGATAAGGAATCTCTGCAGAACATGTTGGTGGTACCATCACCATTTTTTTTGGTCACTATGTCGCCCAGAAGAAGGGACCCTCCGTGCCCCTGAAACGTTGGCTGTTTTACCTT